TTTTTTTTTTCCCCTAAATCCTTCAATTCCACCCCCCACACCCGGCTCTGACCGTGAAGGAAACCAGCCATTAAAGTCACGAAGTGCCCAGGTCTCAAGGTGTCATGGAGGTTGGGTGTGGGTCTTCGCCGTGGGGCGTTCGACGACGGGGGGCTCAGGGAACACAGGGGGCTTGGGACCCCTGTAGGGGGGTAGACCCCCTTTCAACAGGGGTCTACAACTTAAAGGGTGGAAGCAGGAGATGGAAACTGGGTGAGGGGGGGTGGAATTTCCCTTTTCCTCCCCAATTTCCACCCTCCGTGGGGGCACTGGCTCCGGGGAGCCAAGGGTGCTGCCCACCTCCCGTGCACGTCAAGCCCTACAACCCGGGATGGAGTCGGGTGCCAGGGCAGAGGGAAAAAAAAAAAAAAAAAAAAGGCTGGTTTATTTCCACGGACGATTTTTAACCGGCGAGAGCAAATTAATTAAGCAGCGGAACGATTTGGCCGGCGCCGTGGCAGAGCTGCAGGAATAAGGACAGATGCTCTTCCGAGGGGGAACGTGCCCTTCTTTTCCTTTGGTTCAACAGAAATTAATTTGGGGAGTTCAAGAACCTGGGAAAACAAACCCTCGCTCCTCCTGGTACCTTTTACCAAGTCAACACGTGAAATGAAAGCCCAAACTCCTCCGTTTTGGGTTGTCACAGGGTTTTCCAGCCCCTCTTAGAGTAGCCATGGGAGTAGGAGGTGCTGGTGGATCCCTTGGACCATGGGGAGCCAGGAGAAATGGGGGACTGTGTCATCCCCCCCCGTGCCTCTAACCCTACATGGAGTAACCAGCTCGTTCTTGGTGCCTTCTACATCCAAAAATAGGTTTTTTGGTCTATTTTACAGTCTGTATTAATGCCACTGGGTATCGCATTCTGCTGGTGGCTTCCACACTGCACCTCTGGTCCCATTTCTGCTGGGGAAATCCATGGGAAAGATCAATCCAAGGGGATTTGGTGCCCAGGTGGGCTGATTTTAGTCGTCCATCCTTTAGTGGTGCCTTTGCACACCTGAGGAGCCCCTCTGCTTGGCAGAGCACCTTTTATAACCCACACCATTCATATCCGCCGCACGCTCGTAACAGCCACTAATCATTTTATTACTCTTTATAATCTATTTAAAACACAATTAGGAAAAAAAACAACAACAAAAAAACAACCAAAAAAAAATAAAATCCATACGAAGTTACAGCCGAAAGCACATTTTTAGTTTGTGTTATAAATCCCTGAAAAACCACCATCCATCATGAAAACGGGGCGCTCCTTCGCCCGGATGACAGAAATGGATGCTCTGGGGGGGGAGGGGGCCCTGGTTTGGGGTCCTCTCGGCCCCTTCAAAGCACGACACCCTCGGGTTTTAACAGCAGGTAGTCGTGCAGGGGTTTGGGGACGGGCAGCAAAGGGATCAGGCAGTGGCACTGGCTGCCAAACTTTTTCCGAATGGTGGCGCGGCACAAATGTTGCAGGGAGCGGGCTGTGCCCGCCAGCCGAAAAAAGGACTCGTAGAAGAGCTGGTGCTGCTGCAAAGGGAGAGAAAAAAACCCCAAAAAACCAAACATGACCATCAGCTGAATTGATTTATTTTTTTTTCCCCCCTTCTTATTAAGCCAAACGAGGCAGAGAGAATCGGAGGAGGAGGTAAGAAACCCCTCAGTGATGTTTGCTGAGGGTGAGGGTGCTGTGAGAAGGTGGGATGAGGAATTCTTCCTGTGGAAGAAGCCCAGCCTGACTGCAGACAGCGTTTGGGGAGGATGCTTTCATCCAGCATCCCTGGAGAAAGGCTGGGAGCTGACGTAGGAGAGACCTGCTTGTTTCTAAGATGAAGAAAACAAAGCGGGTTCGGTCTAGCGCAGCTCCAGCTTTTCCCTGGCTGGGAATAAAAGTCACCTCTCCCATCCTCTGGAATGTGCCAAAGAGCTTTATTTAAATTTTTAGCAGCCGTCCTCCCCGGCAGCCAAGCTGACCAAAGACCTGCGGGGCCCAGGCATCACTCCAAGATCACTCAAGGGCAGGCTGGCTGTACCTGCCACACCACCAGGGACGAGCTTTTGGAAACCAAAATTAGTGGCGTGGGCTCCTGGGTCACTTCCAGAAGCTGGGATTGTGGGTCAGGGGCAGGAAAGGGTGTACATGTGTGTGGGGTTTGGTGTTGATGGAGCTAGAGAGATGTAAAGCAGCTGATTCGAATCAGGTGTGTGGTGGTGCTTTGAGATCCATTCCTTCCTCCCCTGCCCTTGCCCCAGGTGAAGTTTGGTTGGAATAAACCCCGCCCCCCCAAAATGCTCAGTGGGTAAAACCCCCTCCCTGGGGGCTCAGCCCTTCCCTGCTGAACTGCTGGCACCATCTCACCTGAAATACCTCCTCTGGCACGGCCTCCAGCCACTTCTCGGAGACGCAGATTTGTGAGTAGGAATTGAAGAGGACTTCAATGATCTCTGGCACAGCTGCGCAGGACTTCAGCACCTAGTTGGGTTGGGGGGGAGGTTCAGGTTGAGATGCATGTCTCAGAGGGGAAGAGCATCCGTGTGCTGCAGCTGAGGATCATCCCACCACTCCCCTGCCAAAGCAGGGCTGCCCAGAGCACATCACTCAGGAGCATCCAGGTGGGGCTTGAAGATCTCCAGAGAAGGGGACTCCACACCCTCCCTGGGCAGCCTCTGCCAGGGCTCTGCCACCCTCACCCCAAACAAGTTCTTCCTCACATTGGAGTGGAACTTCCCATGGTCCAGCTTGTGCCCGTTGCCCCTTGTCCTGTCCCTGGGAACCACTGGAAAGAGTCCAGCTCCATCCTCCCTCAACCCACCCTTTAGATAGTTAGAAGCATAAATAAGATCTTCCCTCAGCCTTCTCTTCTCCAGGCTAAAGAGTCCCAGCTCTCTCAGCCTTTCCTCATCAGGGAGATGCTCCAATCCCTCCATCATCTCTGTTGCCCTTCGCTGGACTCTCTCCAGCAGTTCCCTGTCTCTCTTGAACTGGGGAGCCCAGCACTGGACACAGGATTCCAGTTGTGGCCTCCCCAGTGCAGAGCAGAGGGGGAGAATGACCTCCCTTGACCTATTGGCCACACTCTTCCCTAGGCAGCCCAGGATCCCATTGACCCTCTTGGCCACAAGGGCACATAGATGGCTTGTGGAGAGTTTACTCTCCACCAAGACCCCCCCAGATCCTTTTCCTCAGTAGTACTTTCCAGAAGGTCCACCCCAGAACATGGTCCAGGCTGGAATGGTCCAATGGCTGAATGAGGCAGGCGCAGGGTTTCTCCTGATGTGCTTTGGAGAGCTTTCTCCATCTGTAAAGCAGTGTTGCCCCCTTTTGCTTCTTACTTATGTTTTTGCCTTGCGCGTGGTAAGCCAGGATAATATTTTCTTTACTGTTTGATGTAAAATCAATGGAACGCAGAGCCATAAGGCCGCTGACAGCTGATGTACCAAGCCTGGCGTTGACATCCCCAGGCAGGGAAAATAAAAAAAATCCTCCTTGTTGGTCCCCCACCCCCATGTTGGCTGCATCCTGCCCTCTTTTCCCCACCTCCTGTAAGATCAGGTCCTAATTTTCCACTCTGAGCTGTAATTTCGCTTCATACCTGATACGAGAATTCTGAACTCTGGTTTTGGGAAGGAGAGGAAGAGAGTCTGGCAGGACTAAATACTGCTCTTCCCCATCCTCTGTGGGTGTTTTCCTTTCCATCATTCCCAGCAGCATCACCAACCCCGACACCGTGCCCCGATCGGGAAGAATCTCCCAAACCTTCCCAACCACACATCTGTTTTTTAATTCCCCACCCCCGGGGCGGGAGGGGATGCTCTAAGGGCTGTTTTGGGGGGAGGCTGGTACCTTGACAAAAGCGGGGGGCCATATCTTCTGGGAGCCGTGGTTGAGCAGCAGCTGGACGGCGAGGTGGGGGCGCAGGTCCTTCTTGAGGGAGGCGCTCTGCAGGGCGCAGCCCAAGGGGGAGACGCCATTGTAGTCGATGGCGTTGACGTCGGCCCCGCGCCTCAGGAGGAAGGAGGCCAGGCCGGCGTTGGCGGCCCCGCAGGCCTTGTGCAAGGGGCTCCTCCGCGTCTCATCCCGGGCGTCGATGTCGGCACCGTGGCTGGTCAGCAGCCGGCAAAACCTCAGGCAGCCCTCGACGGTGCCCGGCTCTTGGCCACAGAGGATGCTGAGGGCCGTCTCCTCCCGCCCGCTGCGAGCGTCCACGCAGGCCCCGTGCCTCAGGTAGAGGCGGGCATGGTCGTAGAGGCCGTGCCTGGCCGCCACGTGCAGTGCCGTCTCCCCGCCGTCCTCGCTGGGCAGGTCAACGATGGCCCCGTGTCTCAGCAGCTCCTTGGCGCATCTGCAAAGAGATGGGGAGGCTCGGCTTGGGGGTGCGCCACCCTACCATGGTAGGGATGGGTTTTGGGGGAGCGTGGGGTGGAGTGGGAGCCATGGGGATATGGGTTGTTCAGCCTGGAGGGGAAGAGAAGAAAAGAGAAGGCAAGACTTCAGGGAGACCTCAGAGCAGCCTTCCAATATCTGAAGGGAGCTCCAGGAGAGCTGGGGAGGGACTCTTTGTCAGGGAGTGCAGTGACAGGACAAGGGGGAACGGGTTTAAATTGGAAGAGGGGAGATTGAGATGAGATACCAGGAAGAAATTCTTTGCTGTGAGGGTGGTGAGACACTGGAACAGGTTGCCCAGAGAAGCTGTGGCTGCCCCATCCCTGGAGGGGTTCAAGGCCAGGCTGGATGGGGCTTGGAGCAACCTGGGCTGGGGGGAGGTGTCCCTGCCCAGGGCAGGGGGTTGGAACTGGATGATCTTTAAGGTCCTTTCCAACTGTAACCATTCTGTGATTCTGTGATTCTATGATTCTATGAATAATGAGGTGGGCATCGGAGTGGGGTGAGGATGGGCATCAAGCTGGAGCTGGGCTCCCATGGAAGTTGTGGCACTGAAAAATTTTGGAAGAGAGCAGTAGAGGCTGGAGAAGGTGACTTTGTGCCCTGGTGCCCACCATGGTAGTAGTGGTGATGGCGGTTTGGGCAATGTCTCCCTCTTGCTTTTGACCAGCATCATTCATGGATGATCATCCCTGACCATCCAGGGTCCCACCATCCTGGACCCACCAGGGAATGGTGATCCTTGTCCCAGCTGTACCAATTGCCAGGCAGCACTGGGAGAGGTGCCTGCGGTTAGCCATGCCTGAAGGGTGGTCTGTCCTGGATGGTGAGGGTTCTGGGATGCACCTAGCCATGATGAGGACACATAAGGTTGATGAACCCCTTCGTGCCATCCATCTGTCAGTTGAAATTTCATCTCCCAGCATGGCTGCAGCTCTGTGGTTTGTGAGACAATCTATACAATCCCACCCTTTGGCTGACATCCACAGAGCTTCTCAGCTGAAAACATCTGAAGAAGTTGCCTCTAACTGAATCTGTTGTGGGACTGCACTGACATGGAGGGAAACCCTTGGTAATGCCTCTGTGCAGCAGAAGAGCTTGGTGTGGGTTTGCTTGGGTGAAAAATGAATTCCTCCTCTTCTTTTAAGGGACTCAAATACCTGTGTTGGGCTCCCACCCCAGAGAGGACTAATGGATTGTGTTTTCCACCTATCCTGAAAAGAAACACCTTTGCAGATGGTGAAAGTCTGCCGAAAAGAGTTTTGTCAGCTTGTTTGGCACCTGGTGATGATAGAGTGACAGCACCTGCAGTTCCCAGCAGGAATAAATCAAGGTAAGCAACCCTTCCCATCCTAAATCACTGCTCCCACCTCTCTTTCCATCTCAGGTCACTGAGGGTGGTTGTAGAGAGGGGTTGTGGCTGCTGTGGAGCAGGGACACCAGTGACCATCAGAACTTTTCATCTGCATCCTTCTGACAGCAAATGGGGGTTAAAGATACCTGGTATGTCCTGAGTTTTTTATATATTTTTTTTCTGGTCTATATGTGAGTAAATGGATATGATCAGCCAGTCTAAATGAATCAAAGTGACTGCTCTATCTCCTGCTGGGAGCTGCTGGGGCTGGCATGGCTCAATGTCACCACCCAGGCAGGGCTGATGGCAGCTGGGTTAGTCTGTGGGGCCAAGCTCACTGCTGTGGCATGGAGGAGTTATTTTTTGGGGGAGAGAGATGTAAAGTAAGACCTTGAAAACATGGCGAGCTTGTGTTTTCCTCATGTCTCCTGCTGCCGGGCAGGTGGGAAGAGTAGTCCTTCAGGAAGCCTCAGAGGTCCACCAGGAAGCCTGGAGTCTAGGGAGGTTTATCAACCCTTAACCGCCCCCTTCCCAGCCTGCCTGTTTTTTTTTTGTTTTTTTTTTTTCTCTAATAAGACTTGGTTTTAACTCGGGTATCACCCAGGGTCCTTAAAGAGGTTGACACAGAAGTAAAATGAGGGGGAGCTGTGGGGGAGTAGAGTAGAGTACCCCTTCAGCAGCAGGGATGGAGGAGAAGAGGAGGAAGGATGGTGCCAGGGCAGTGCTGCTTTTTCCTAGTCCAGATAAATGTTAACATGTATGGGGAAAATAGCAGTAAGAAAACAGCAATAATATTAATAATAATAATCTACTTATATCTTTCTGGATGTGCAGCATTATCTCATCTGAGATTAGATAGGAGCTGCTGAGACATTCACTGTCTTTGGTGGTGCAGGATGGGCAAACACCTCCTTGGGCTGCTTTTCCCATGCGTATCAGGTCTGAGTTTGCCAGGAAAAAAAATCCTAGAGGATCTGTGGGGGTAGGTTATTTCTGCAGGTCTAATGCTCCCAGATGCTGCCAGCCTACACTGGACCTCACTGGAGGGATCTACTGGGGATGCAGTTGTGGGTGAGTGGACTGAATGTGGGGCTGTTCCAGACCCAGAAACCCTCAGATCCTTATTTTACAATTCCCATTTTACTCTCAAACGTGCTGAATCTCTCTCTCAAGCAAAGTCTTGTCTTGCTGAGGGTGGGTTTTTCTTTTGGCACTTGCTGTCTGCCAGTGGGTAAAACTTTGTTGGAGAGGGTCTGTTGCTGGAAAAAAATCACACTGTGACTTGGTTGTGCTTACCAGTCTTGTCCATCCTGGATAGCAGGGAATTTGTAGCCCTAATTATAAAGACTCTCTTGGGACCTCTCTGGGTTAGCTTATCCCTAGTGTTACCGTTAGCTCTGGCAATAAAATAAGGCATTTGGGACAACCTAAGGGACTGCTCTGCAGAGGAAAAATGGGGAAAAAAAAAAAAGTATTTTTGACTTGGTTGCAAAACATGCAGCAAACTAGTCCAGGAGAAAAAAAAATTCTTTTGTAGGTTTTCCCCTACTGAGGGTTGGGATGGGAGTTTAATTCCTCTTGGCCTCCTGCTAGACATCCCAAATATTCTTCTAGAGATACCTGGGTGGAAACACCACCCTTCCCCGATGCTGTTTTGCTGGAGGGTGATACTTATTTGTTACCAAGTTCAATGGCTAATTTTTCGGAAGAAACCCAAGTTTGTTTATAGTGGGTTTTCCCCCCGGATACTCCTCCCTCGGCAAAGAAGGAATGTTAGTGAGGAGCTATAAATAAGGGGTGATCTCTTCTACTTAATGGAAATATTGGGCCCCCGTGAGGAGCATGCGCCTCCAGTTTGGATGTATGGGGCATCAGCAGGTGCTGGTTAGATGCCACTCATATTTGCTGGCTATATGCTCTTATTTTAGTTTCTAATTTCTGCTGATGAACTCATACACTCTAACAGTTTGCCAGCATTTCTGGCTCTTTGTTAGTTTTTTTTTATTATTAACACCCTGTTGTTCACCATCAGATTAGGCTAAAATCCCATTAAATAAGGGCCAGCTGATGCTTGTTACTTTTTGAGGACTTCTCTCCGATGTTCTGAGAACATTGCAAGAAGCCATGGGTTTAGTTCAGCAGAAATTCAGACACAGGGTGGCAAAGCAAATGATTTTGTTTTCCATCCAGCCTGGTACCATTGACCTGGCTGAGCAGCTCACCAGTGATGATAATACCCCTGAAGCAAGTCCTCAAAAGCCAGCCTGGCACACAGCTGAGTCTAATTTTGACTAGTTTTAAGTTCACTTCCAAACCCTTCCTAACTCATTTGCAGGTGGTGGGTAGCACACCTGGATGTCTCCTCGCTGGGGCAATTTGCTCATTAATTAGGTCAAAGTCTCACTACCTTGTGACAGCTGGTGTTGGTGCTACAGGTTTGCCTTGTGCTGGGGTCCTGGCTCAAATAAAGGGGATAGAGTGATGTGGGTGGTTCATTTTTTCTTCTTCACCCCTCAATAGAGTTGGGGCAGACATCAGTGCTACATCAGTCAGGATGTGCCCGTTGCCCTCCTCTGCCAGGACTGGCCATAGGAGTCAGGGCAGACATCAGTGCTACATCGGTCAGGATGTGCCCATTGCCCTCCTCTGCCAGGACTGGCCACGAGCTCCCAACATTCCACTTGTCAGTTTGGGATGAAAAATGCGCAGGCTGGTAAAATGGGAGTTAGCTTGAAATGGGATGAGATGAATAACCAGCAGGAGGTTGGGGCAGCAGAGGCTGGAGGAAAATTCCTGTCACAAAATCCTGCACTGGCCCTCAGTTTTCTTAAGGAAAAAAATCTCCTCTTTGTGGTTTTTAACCCCCCTCCCCTGGGGTTGGGGTGAGGGTTTCCCATCCTTTGCTTGGTTGCTTTTCATGGCATCCAAGATCTTCCAATCTATCTGTGATTTCTTGTGGGATTGATGCCGCTTGGAAAAAGCAGCTTTTCCCAGCCCTGGCTCTGAATGCAAGGATTATTCTTATCAATTTCCTAAAAGGAGGAGAAGGAAAGCCTGTTTTTCTTGAAAAGATGAAAATCTTCTGGGGCACCACGAGACCCCTGGTGAACCATGGGCAGAGGGCTGGTTGTGCTGGTGTGGGGTCAGCCCTGTCACCCCAGGGTGAACACCAGCCCAGCAACATCACACTCTGAACCATTTATTTACCAAAGCTTCATGAGCCATGGATACACTTGCCTTACTTTTGGCACCCCCAGCTTGGGGAGCACCACAGAACCTTCCACCTTGGGCAACCTCTTCCAGTGAGATGAAGATCTTCCTCCTCATCTCATCTCCTCATCTCCTCATCTCCAATCCAAATCTGCTCTTCTCCAACTTAAACCTCTCCCCAACCTTCCTGTAGCCCCCCTCAAGGACTTGAAGGTCCATCCAGGTCTCTCCAGGCTGAACAACCCCAGCTCTCTCAGCCTGTCTTCACAGCAGAGGTGCTCCATCCCTCTGAGCATCTTGGTGGCCCTTCGCTGGACCCATTCCAACAGGTCCATGTCCTTCTTGTGCTGAGGACTCCAAAGCTGGACACTATGTTAACGGGTGAGGACCTAACAGCCCATAAGCAAAACCTGTCCTGTCTCCTCGAGCTGGTTGCTCTTGCGCTCATCATTTCTTGTATAGAGACCCTTGGACACTGAGTCTCCTCCTGCATTGACTCATCTCACCATCAATGTCTTGTCTCTCAGAGCTGGAGGGTGGGAGCTAGGAGACAACTCTGGTTTCAGGCTCCCGGGGTGCAGAGAAGGCTTGAAGAAAAGAATGCAAGGGCATCTCTCAGCCATAAGCCAAGTTGCACAGAGGCAGGGGGGACATCTTCTTTTCTTATCCTTCAACTTGACTAAGTCCATGTCCTTCCTATGCTGAGGACTCCAAAACTGGACCCTATGGGTGAGGACCTAACACCCCGTAAGCAGAACCCGTCCTGTCTCCTCGAGCTGGTTGCTCTTGTGCTCATCATTTCTTGCATAGAGACCCTTGGACACTGAATCTCCTCCTGCATTGACTCATCTCACCATCAACGTCTTGTCTCTCAGAGATGGAGAGTGGGAGCCAGGAGACAACTCTGGTTTCAGGCTCCCGGTGTGCAGAGAAAGCTTGAAGAAAAGAACACAAGGGCATCTCTCAACCATAAACCAATTTGCACAGAGGCAGGGGGGACATCTTCTTCTCTTATCCTTCAGCTTGACTAAACCCCTTCCCTCCGTGGAAGGCTGGTGAAGGCAAGCTCTGGGGGATTTCTCTCCAGGTAAGCTCTCCCTGGTTGCACGTGAAACCTGGAGTCTTCAGAGAGCTTTTTCTGACTCGCAGATCTGAAGGAGGACTCTACCAACCTGGTCCCTTCTGCTGCAGGTACCACAATGGGAGGCGGGGGCTACATCCCGCATCCCTGAGATGCTCCTTCCCACCGCCCCGCGCCTCTCACCGCCGGGAGAGTTGAAACTCTTCCTCTCCTCCTCAATTATTTTTATTTTTTTTTTTTTTTTTTTCGGGGTGCCAATAAAGGCAGACTCCTTTAATCATCCCAGCTTTAAGAGGGAAACAGGAGAGCGCCAGGGAGAGAGTGCAGTGAATTTAGAGACTCATCTTACCCCACCATGTTAATTATCTCTGCTGTAAAAAAGAGGTCAAGGAGAGGAACTCTACTAAATAGGCCGACGTTGGCATGAACAGCTCCTAAAGTGAAGAAGGTAAGACTGAACTTTACTGGAACTTTTTTTTTTCCCATCTCTTCAAAAAGCTCCTAGATTAAAGCTCTGATATCCTTTTTGTTGAAATCTCATGGATTCTGAAGCTCAAATGGCTGGAAGGAAGCCCAGATAATTTTTTTTTATCCCAGTCACTGAGAGGCTCAAAGGTTTTAAGTCCTGCCCCCATGGTGAATTGCCGAGTATATAGGAATACAGAAGAACCCGGCACATAGGTGTTCTGGCCATTGTTATCGAGAGGGAGAAAAATAAAATAGCTCTCTATGTAGGTCAATGACCTGCTCTTTATTGTCAGTAAAAAATTAAGGATGACCTAAAATCTACTACTCAACGAAAAAAATAAAAAAATAAAAAATAAAAAAGCAAGGTAAAGTAGTCTCCCCCTAATCAAAGAGGAAATGTTTGTGTTACCTAAAGCTTGACCTCCTCAGTCTCTAACTTTAGCAAAGTCTTTGCGATTTGAAAAGCAGTGGTCGAAACCTCAAAACCTGTCTGAAATGTCTATTAATTTTTGATCTTTCAAGGGAGTTGGCTTAGTTATTGTAGAAGCCCCCGTAGCGCCGGGTAGCGTAGTTAAGGGTCTCTCAGCATTTCCATTATAAAGCCCCAATATTCAAGGGCTTATAACTCAGCTGTTTCCACATCGCGTCCGTCTGATCCCCACGTCGCAGTTTGCTGGCTCACCTGCCATCCCCCTCAGTTCTTCTGGGGGAAATAACATGTAAATTGGTGACAACTCTCTCTCTCTATATATATATAAATTATTTTTTTTTCCAAGCTGGGAAGCACTTGGCCAAAAACAGGACACCCAGACCTTTGTGGGCCATGGGGTCTCCTCCTTGCACCAGATTGGTTTCTTTGTCTCATCTCTACAGGGGGAGAGTGAGTCAGTGCAACCTAAAATCCCTCCCTGGGGCTTTTAGGATGGCTTGGGGTTTGGGGACTGAAGTCTCTAAGGTCAAAAGGGAGCTCAGGTGAAGGAATTAAAACCAGCTCCTTATTAATGATGAGGGCTGCTGGTAGCATCCTCCCTCACCCATCTCGCTCCTTCCAACCTTCATTGCACCAAGGATGCTTTTGATTAATCTCTAGATTTTTGGTGGAGACAAAATTTGATTAAGACCTGATTTTGGCCATCTTGCAAAGACTTGTATTTATAAGCTGGGCTTGAGATATTTACATCTGCACACCTTTTCCTCTCTAGCTGTTGTTTTTTTGCAGACCTCTTTGCCTGTGACACATTGGATCTGTAGTGGGAACCCTGTGTTCACCACCTGCTCCTAAGTTAAGCTGGCTGCCTGTCTAAAGGGGAGAGGATTGAAGCCAGGGTGGCTTTTCACTGAGCTGGCAGGTGATGAAATTTGCTATGGCCCTAAGCAGTTTCGTCAGGATACCAAGGGGCTGAGCTCTTTATTTAAAAAACAAAAAACAACCAAAAAACAAAACCCAAGAGACCCAAACCCACAAAAAAACCAAACAGCAAAGCCTCAGTTCCTTGGGTCTAATAACTTAAGGGCTGAAAGTCCTACTGAGACACATGAAAAGCTTATTTTTCATGCAGTGTTTATACTCACCTCTGTGTGATGCTGATCCAGGGTGAGAAGGGAGAGGAGGGGTGTCGCTAAACCATAGAAATTCATAGGTGTCTTCGGGGGGGCACAAGGGGGTGAGGAGGTGGAAGGATTGCTCTCCATCCTCCAGACCTCGTCCCTTCGTTACGGCCACAGGACTGGGATTTTAGGAGGAGGGGGAGCCCTTGGTCAGCACCAACATCCCTTGTTGATGGGGTGAGGAGCGCAGGAGGTCCCTGACTGGACCCATCCTTAGTGTCTCCTGGGAGACACTCCATGCTGGACCTGGGATGTGGGACGCAGTGATTTTTTTGGGATAAATCACCAGGAAAGGGGAGGAAGGCAAAGCATGTGGAGCTAGGCTGGGCTGTTCCTGTCCTTGGGAAGGAGACCTGGGCTGTGCAATGTGCCTGGCACCAAAATGTCCCTTTTTTGCCTGTGCTGAGTGTGCCACAGCAGCTGATGCAGCTGGGGGATGTGGGAAGCCTTGCCAGTGGGATGCTAATGGAGGGGGGTGGTGGGGAGGGGGATGTTCTCCTTACCCCAGGGAGTCTTGGGTGGTGCAGAGGTGCAGTGGGGCCAGGCCCTCGTCGCTCCGCAGGTTGGGATCAGCCTTGTGCTCCAGCAGCAGCTCCACGCAGTCGGTGTGACCCCCCAAACAGGCTTCGTGTAGGGGCCCGAGCCCCCCCGGTGCCAGGTCGGGGTCGGCCCGTCGGTGGAGGAGATGGCGCAGGCAGGAGACATGGCCCCAGCGGGCGGCCAGGCAGAGCGGGGTGGTCAGGTCCTGCTTGTACTCCAGAGACCACAGCCCTGTGGGGAGGAGGAGGAAGAGGAGGAAGGATGCCTGGGACTGACCCACTGGGTTCCTCTCATCACAGAATCCCATGGGGTTGGAAGGGACCTCTGGAGATCATCTAGTCCAACCCCCTGCCAAAGCAGGGCCACCCAGAGCAGGTCCCACAGGAACGTGTCCAGGTAGGGTTTGAATGTCTCCAGAGAAGGAGACTCCGCCCCTTCCCTGGGCAGCCTCTGCCAGGGCTCTGCCACCCTCAGAGGGAAGAGGTTCCGCCTCATGTCGTGGTGCAACTTCTTCTATTCAAGTTTGAGCCCATTTCCTCTTGTCCTGTCCCTGGGCACCACTGAAAAAAGACCGGCCCCATCCTCTTGACACCCTCCCTTGAAGTATTTCTAGGCATTGATCAGATCTCCCCTCAGTCTTCTCTTCTCCAGACTAAAAAGACCCAAGTCCCTCTTCCTCCCCTCGTAAGGGAGATGCTCCAGGCCCCTCATCATCTTTGTAGCCCTCAGCTGGACCCTCTCCAGCAGTTCCCTGTCCTTCTGGAACTGGGGAGCCCAGGACTGGACCCAGTGCTCCATCCAGACAGGGCACCCATTGCATCAGCTTTCCAAACAAACCACATTAATACACTGCTTTTTCCTATTCTTTCTTCCAGCTCCACGGCAGCTTTAGGTGTTCAAAAAGGGCCTGGTTGTAGTTGGTGGCTCCTCTGAGCCCTGTTGGCAAGAGGGAGGGAAGCAAAAGTCCCCGGCTTGCGTGCACATCCAGGAGCAGGATTTCACATGGCACGAGCTGGGTAAACCAATACCTCCTGTGTCCACAACCAGCTGCAGAGGAGATAGGATCTCCCTGGCAGGAGCTAAAAGGCTGCTCACAAATTCCTCACCTGCACCAGGCTGAGCATGGGATGCACTAGGTTTGGATTTGGCTGGAGCAAAGGAAAGGACGTTCCCCAGCAGCTCTGGGGCTCTCTGTAGATGCACAGTGCCTGCTGAGCATCAGGGACCATCTGGGGTTGGGAGGAACCAGGTACCACTACCATGGGAGCATCTTATTCCTGCCAGATAGGACCAGGCTGCTCTTTCTCAGCCTCTGCATGGGGAATTTGGGCTATAAACACCTCGGAGTGCCCCATCCCAACCTGGAAAAATGATGTGGATACACACTTTTTAAACTTCCCTGCCCCTTCAGTGGGTTAGTATGTGCAGAAGAGAAGAAAATAATTTATAATTAAAAAAAAAAAAGTGCTGAATGTTGATGGCTAGGTCTGCTGGGCACAGTCAGCTAACCAGAAACCTCAGGAACAGCCCCTATAAAAACAGTGTTAGGCACTTCAACGCAGAGCACCTCTCCCATTTAGGGTTAGTAAATACCTGGGTTTTTTAAAATTTTTTTTTCCGGACTGGCCTTTAAAGGAAAAGTACCTGAGAGTCCGTAAGACGCTTGGCTTTTCACCTGCCACTCCAGCTCATTTTTATTGATCTCAAAAACCAGGTTGACATCTTGATAGTATCGGTCGGTCAGGAGCTCGAGGCTTCTCAGGTCTCCTGTGACCAGGGCTGTGTAATACCTGGTGGCAGGAGCGTGAGCCGTTAGAGGATGCGCCGAATCCAATTTGGGGGAAATCTGTAGCTTTTCTCTTACAGGTCCTGGTAACTCGCCCATTCCAGTGCTTTCCCGTGTGTGTAGGTCCTAGCTGGGAGGATAGACAGGCTTTTATAGTTCATTGTTTCCATCCTCCTGGGCTCATTGTCTAATTATAATCCAGTTAAGGCTCTATTGTTGTCGTATTTATAACTCCGGCGGGGTCAGGTGATAACGGGCACAGGATACAATGAGGGTCAAACGGTCACTTTGGCTGTGGTGTTGCAGCACCTCCTGGACTAAATTGCTGGTTTAATTGCAGGCAGCAGCTTGGGACGTGGGTGTTTAGGCTAGGAGAAAAACAGTGCCTAGGGTTTAGGGAGTAAAAAAGAAAAAAAATAATAAGATTTAAAAAAGATTTACAGAATCACAGAATCTTCTAGGTTGGAAGGAACCTTAAAGATCATCTTGTCCAACCGTCAACCTAACTTTGACAAAAATAGACACCCACACAACAAACAAAAAGCAACACCATCACTAAACCATACCTCCCAGCACTACATCAACCCGGCTTTTGAACACCTCCAGGGATGGTGCCTCAACCACCTCCCTGGGCAGCCCATTCCAATGCCTGAGAACCCTTTCGGTGAAAAAATTTTTCCTAATATCCAGCCTGAACCTCCCCTGGCGCAACTCGAGGCCATTTCCTCTCGCCCTGTCGCCTGTGACTTGAGAAAAGAGACCGACCCCCATCTCTCTACACCCTCCTTTCAGGGAGTTGGAGAGAGCAATAAGGTCTCCCCTCAGCCTTCTTGTCTCCATGCTGAATACCCCCAATTCCCTCAGCCTCTCCTCATAAGACTTGTGCTCCAGTTTAGTTAGCTCCAGTCTGCCCAACCCCATATATCCATATATTTGTGTGCTCTGAGACAATGTTTGGGTTTTTTTCCCCTCTGCCTAATATGGTATTTTATTTAATTTTTTTTTTTTTCCATACCTGTTTCCAATCTTGTGCTGCTACAGGGAAAAATCTGGGCATCCTGTTAGGGGCTACCAAGATGCAGACTGGCACGCTGGCGTGTCCCTGCAGGGAGGCAGAGAGCTTGGCAAAAGCTAGAGAAGAACAAAACCTCCTGGGGCTGCTCTCCCTGCTGATGCCTTGTATAGGAGAGAGAAAGATCTCAGCCTCCCCTGCCATTTAAGCACGGGGACAGATGCCAGCAGAGTGTCCCTGGCTCCCGAGGCTTGGGGCTCCTTTCCTCAAGGTCACGGGAGAAGTCTGTGGCGGGGACAAGAATAGACCTCCTCATCTCGTGACTCGGTGGCTTCGCCACCAGCCCGAAGCTCCAGGTGGCACAACTCCCCCACTCATCCCCAGGGAATAAACATGATCAAAGCAGATCTTGAGAAGATGTTAAACTATATCAAAGCAACCGGACGTGGAGGGATGGGTGAAATGCTTTGTGGTTTCCCTCCGTGTGGAGTCAACCTGGGGCTGGAAGAAATGTGTGGGACCTTCTCCATAGCGCCCTTGCAAGTGGGGACCTTGATGCTCATGCCAACCCCAGGCCAATACATCTGTATTGCTGGAGCCATCTGACGTTTCTCTGTGGGTTTCCTCAGCACAGCTGTGGTGACATCCAGCCACCTGGTCCCAGAGGCCAGGGGAAGAGTGCAGAGCCACAGAAAAACCCCATGGTGTGTGCATCCAGGATGGGGGTCGCACTGAGCTGGGGGAGGTCTAACTTGGAGTCCTTGTGTTAAATTAATCCCTTGTGCAAAGGACCCCCTGCCTTGAGGTCCCTGTTCACGAGCAGCTGCCATGGGAGCTAATTTGAGGTCAACCTATCTGTTCTTTCCTATTTTATTTTTCCAGCTAAACTAAAGGTTGGCCCTCCCACCTGGTTGGCTGTCTACAACTGGATGGTTTGAACCCCCAGATTCCATCACCTTTCTCTCTTCTTTTACTACTTGTTGCTCTTCTGCTACCTCCAGCCTTTCTGTGCATCTTCACCCTTTCTGGTGTCATAGAATGGTTAGAGTTGGAAGGGACCTTCAAGATCATCCAGTTCCAACCCCCCTGCCCTGGGCAGGGACACCTCCCACCAGACCAGGTTGCTCAAAGCCCCATCCGGCCTGGCCTTGAACCCCTCCAGGGATGGGGCAGCCACAGCTTCTCTGGGCAACCTGTTCCAGGGTCTCACCACCCTCACACCAAAGAATTTCTTCCTGGTATCTCATCTAAATCTCCCCTCTTTCAGTTTAAAACCGTTCCCCCTTGTCCTGTCACTGCACTCCCTGACCAAGAGTCCCTCCCCAGCTCTCCTGGAGCTCCCTTCAGATATTGGAAGGCTGCTCTGAGGTCTCCCCGGAGCCTTCTCTTCTCCAGGCTGAACAACCCCAGCTCTCTCAGCCTGTCTTCATAGGAGAGGGGCTCCAGCCCTCTGAGCATCTTCATGGACCTCCGCTGGACCCATTCCAATAAGTCCATGTCCTTTCTATGGTGAGGACCCCAGAGCTGGACACAGTGCTCCAGGTAGGGTCTCACCAGCATATCAACTGAACCACCTCTTAAAAGCATTGTTTTGCTATGAAAACTAGCCTCACAATCCCCTGGGGTCCCTTAGCTGGTGCAGGAGATGGTTTGGAGACACCGGGAGCGGCACAGACTGGGATTATTTTCCCCCGGGGGTCGTGTTTTCTCACCCCTGGCTCTCTTTCCCTCTCTGCTCATTAGCCATCCTGAGATATTTTTGTGGTGGCGTGGAGGAATCCTGCCTTCACGTGCTCACACCGAGGGGGGGATCACCTTCCCCCTCACAGACCACCTCCCGTGCTGGCAGCCGGGTATATTTAGCAGGGAGTCTAGACTTTCGTGGGCTAATTTTTCACGGGGGGTGTGAGTGTGTGTGTGTGTGTGTGTCTGGCATTAAACCTGCTGTTGAGAGCGTGTCGAAATACCCCGTGACCCTCTCCCTTTCTCGTGAGCTTTTTAATGGGTGCCCATTTGCATATAACGCTCGCTTCTTGGGTGATGGACAGGATTAACAAACAGTGTCTCTGGCAGAAGAGTGTGGGGGTTTTAAAAATAACCAGCAAAGAGTAGGAAGAAAAAAAAACCCCTGTGTAGCTGAGTGGCACATCTAAATGCCTGAGCTCCTGCCAGCCAAGTCAAGTGCTTTTCCCACCAATGAGTGGAAAGTGATGTCAGGATGAAACAATATTCCCTGTGTTTTTTTTAAAGGAAACACTGTCAGGCAGGCAGGAGTGATTTACTGCCCAGGGGAGCTGGCGGCCAGGACACCTGTGGAGCATCCTGGGGCTTGCCAAGAGAGGGGATGGAGTCCCTGGGTGGGTTTAGAAGGACAACAGTGGGGTTTTCACCTCTTATAAACTACCTGTCAGGGATTTTTGGGGGGCAGAGGGAGGCTGGGACCTCGCAGCCCTACCCTCTCCTCTGCCACTGCCATGGCCTTGGTCACATCACTTGTCCTCCCAGCATCCCCACCCCTAGAGGATCTGAGGGACTGATCCTGCAACCAGTTAAACCTAAGATCATCCTTATGTGTCCTTACTTCCATAGGGATGTTCCTACACGGACTGGGGCCCCAAACGTGGGTGAGGACCAGCACTTCATTAGCAGGAACCTCACCACTCATTAATCTCTAACGCGGGGGTAGCATCTTCACCTTCTCCCCGCGCACGACTGTTTGCGGAGTACACCTCATTTAACAAAACATTAAGCATTTTACTTCCTCGGATCAAGTGTATCTATTAATAATGACTTAAATTGTCTGCGCCGGCTTCGCATTACGAGGAGGAGAGCTCATTCCTGGCACAGGGGAAGAGCGAGACACGCAGAAGCAAAATGACTCCAGTGCCAGCTTCTTTCCCCAAGTTAAGCTGCCTCATAACGACTCAGTCCTCGCACCGGGGGAGATTTCAGCCCATAATAACTTGCCCTGCCAGTTCCAAAAAAACCCATGAGCCTACCTTAAAAAAAAAAAATAAAAAAAATCTGACGAGTCCAGATGTGCCCGTGCTGAGTGCTCCCGGTGTCACCGCTGTGATTTACAGCTGCCCTCTGGCACTGGGGAATGCTATTATATTTTTTTCTTTTTTTTTTTTTCCTTTTTTTTTTCTCTCTTTTTTTTTCTTTTTTTTTCTTTTTTCCCAAGGAAGTTTCCAGTGCAGTGAAGGAGCCCGAGGGCTGGCAGCCTGCAGCACTGCCTCCTCCAGCTGCTCTCAAGCACGGACAGCAATGCCTGACTGATTTAAAGCTTACACACACACACACCACCCCTTCTTTACCCCCCACCCCCCAAAAAAAAAATATAATTAAAACAAGCTGGCTGAATGGTGGAGCTCCCCGTGATGGGGCAATGGCTGTGCCCACCCCCCCAGCACCCTGTGGCCATGGGGAGGAGATGATGTGCCCACCCAGGAGGTGGGTGGATGGAATGGGGAGACCACCAGGCTGTGAGATAAACCCCCCAAGCCTACCTTGGAGGGACGTCGGCGTGAGGGTGCCTCTCCTAGATGATGCTTGCTTGCTTTCTTGCTTGTCCCCCCCCCCAACCCCCAGGGTGACATGGGCAGCGCAGGGCAGGACGTTTCAACTCCTCTCTGGGGACCCAGGTGCCACCTTTCAAACAGCCAACCTGTGGCCAAAACGTCGACAGCACTGCCCAGCTATGTGGCTGGACCAGGGGCCAGACCGAAGCATTAACACCCATGAAGAAGCACCTCTCTGTGTCCTGAATGGGGGGATAATGCTTTGCATCCCACCCCCCCCAAAAAAAAACCCACTTCTGCAGATGCAATCGCCTGAACAGAGCCAGCTCCTGCTGCTGGACCAGCTCTCCTTTAAAAAAAAACTGCCACCCGGTGAAATATAAACTTGTCCCCGAGGCTGCATTGATTTTGTCCGGCTTTTATTGGAAATTAGATAATATTTAAATAGCGCTGAAACATTTCCCTTTAACAGCTCTATATAATAGGGGAAGGTATTCCGTGTTTACGGTAGCCCTTCTTTGCCAAACATAAATAATTTGATTCAAGAACCACAAAAAAAAAAATAATACCCTTTCCAATTTTCATAACGGCGCAGTTCTTTCCTTCGTCCCCCCTTTTCCCATCAATTATAGGAAGAATAAAAAAAAAATAAAAATAATAAAACAGTTCTTAGCTCAACTAAAAATACTCAGGTTCTCTTTTCCCCCTCCCCACTGAAGAATTGCAGCTGTGTTAATTATCCCCTGGGAATTCAATCCCGGTGCGCATCCTCTTTTAAAGGCGACGGGGAGCCCTACCAATTATTTAACCCCTCAGTAATGTGCTTGTGAAATGTCACCCCGGGTGCCAGCCTGGAAAACCATCTCAGACCTTCCCTCTCGTCACGTGGCTCCCGTTACAGTACGAGGCTGGGTGATGGCATTTACTAATTAGCAGGCTGCCCCAGCGCGCTCGCCGCTCCTCTCCTTGGGTTATTTTTAGAAACCACCCTTGAGGTTGTTTAAGGGTTGTAAGGGTTGTGGATTTCCCCCCACCACCACCACCCAGATTTACCTTAAAACCTTAGAGCCTCTTTGGCAGAAGAAGGTGCTGAGCATCTCTGCCTGATGGGGTGCCTGGGCTGCAAAAAGCTCTCGGTGAGTGGCACGAGTAGACACAGACACAAAGCTTTTGGGTTGGTTTGCTTTAGATTTGGGGATATCAGGGGCTTGAGGTCCTCCCTGCATTTTTTAAATTTTATTTTGCTCTTGTTGCTCCTTTCTCTGAGGAGGCAGATGGCTGAACGCTTACGTGAGCAGCGCAAGGTCTCTCCCCTCCTGAAATCACAGAATCCCATGGGGTTGGAAGGGACCTCTGGAGTCCTGAAATCACAGAATCACATGGGGATGGAAGGCATCTCCAGAGATCATCTAGTCCTACCCCCCTGCCAAAGCAGGGCCACCCAGAGCAGGTCCCACAGGAACGTGTCCAGGTGGGGTTGGAATGTCTCCAGAGAAGGAGACTCCACCACCTCCCTGGGCAGCCTCTGCCAGGGCCCTGTCAGCCTCAAAAGCTGGTTTTTGCTGCATATCTCCTCTTTTTTAATGCCCACCTCAAACTTTGCTGCCCCAAGGTTGCAATCTAAGCACCTGTTCTGCATATGGAGGCTATAAAAAAAGCCACCAGC